TAGTGCTTAACCGAAACAATCCCAAGGGTTTTCCTGCCCCCCTCCATTTCTAAGTAAAAGTGAGAGCAAGCTAGCTAAGCATTTTTATAATTCAAAGTGAGCAACGTGTGCAGGAGAAATCAAACCATGTCACCTAAACGCCTCGAAACAACCATGGTCTTCCGCATTGCTACTATGCTTATCAATTGTAAGTGTTTCGCTAGCTGGCTGCCCTTTTTTGAAGCAGACGTTTGTGACGTACCTACTGATTATACAAAGAGAAAGTTAGAAGCGGAGTCATATCAGGGGATTCTTGCTCTGCTTCCAGATTGCCCGTGAGCCATTGCTTTGTATCCATCAGCCTGACAATTACACCATTTGGGGGTCTCATGGGAAGGCAAATGGAAAATGCTCAGCTGGGCTCCTGGAGACTTGAAAAGTAGGTTGTTCAGCTGTTCTATCTGAAGATCCACATTTGGGGACTTTCAGCTAAACCCTAACCCAAAGAGCTTTGTCTCTGGGTAACAAAGCTGGCCCTACTGTTATTACATTAACTGCATTTGTCTATCTTATTATTACATCAATTCCCTATCTGTTCTGTACAATTCCCTATCTGTTCTGTCACAAATGTCTGGGTTTCCACAATATGATAAAGCATACATCATGCATTAAGTCTGGGTTCACACAATGTACTATACCAAACCCAAAGTAGGTGCATTTTTTTCTGAAGTGCGAAAACTCAATCCATGAATGTCCATGTTCAGTGGGACATGAAGTACCGGGTTTAGCTCTCCTAGCCTGACACTCAAACCCAGTGTTTCTCAACCTCAGGAACTTTAAGATGTGCGGACTTCAACTCCCAGAATTCCCCAGCCAGCCATGCTGGCTGGGGAATTTTTGGGGTTTAAGTTCACACATCTTAAAATTCCTGAGGTTGAGAAACACTGCTCTAGCCATTACGACTGGCAGCGTGTCTTTTGGAGACAGCAGATCAGACAGCATCAAAATAAGGCTGATTTGTTTTTGAGTTATTCCATTTGGTCCGAATTGGTATCCTTGTATTTCAGCCTGACTTGGTTTAAATTAAGCAATGAATGGATTGGATCTCTTAACCTTTGTGGCAGACTTAGTTTGGGTTGTAATCTTCAGGATGGCAAACCTGGATTAAAGGCTTAAAAAGGTTCTCCTCGATCAAACTGTGATCCTGCAAATACATAGTTATTTAACGAATCCCAGCAACTGATAAGCAGAATGAAGTTCCCCCCCTCCCCAAAAGCTCAGCCTCCACCAGTTTCTAAGCCTTATCTGTTATACACTCACATCAGTGTGTCTGTCAGATTGCTTCATGGATTTTGTATCTCAGGAAAACGGCTTAGCAGTGTTATGTTCTTTATTTCAAGTGCATTTTCTCTCGATAAAATAAACGTTATGTACTTCAAATGACTGGTGTAACAAAACACATATCAAACAGATGAACTGGATTGAAATTGCTTAATGGAAAATTACCAGAGGTTGAGTTATATTTTAAGGCAAGCAGTCAACAATCAATTTTAATTGTGCCCTGCCTTAGGAATCATTATGATTTGAGACAAGAGTTAAAAATAACCTTAGTCAATAAACAGCTGAGAGTCCCAGTGTGTTTTGAGCAAATACAGCTTTCTACCATGTCAGAGTCAGGTAATATTCCAGAAGAAACTTGCTAACACTTCAAGGGTGATAGAGCCAGAAATAATTTTGCTCTAAAAGGGATCCTATGCATGTTTATTTTAGAAGTAATATGGAACTTACTCCCAAGTGTACATAGATCTATGTCTCTTTGGAGGGATCCTAAGCGTGTTCAATTCAGACAACAGTTAACAAAGCAATCCAATGTGTCCATCCAAGGTACGATGGGTCTCAGCTGAGTAAGCCTGTGGAATTGTACTGTAGTGATGAAAATGCTACACCTGGACACGAGAGACTCACCTTGCTTCTCACTTGACCATATAGCAGTTCACTGGGTGACTATGGGCCAAGTATTCCCAGTCCAACCTACCTTGCAGGGTTGAAGATGGTGTTAAAATTGGGGAAGACCTCCATGTCCGCTTTGACCTCTCCAGGAAAAGGAAGGATGTGAAATAAATAGTAACAACAATCTTGCAGGCTGAAATAGGTATATTTCAACATGGCAAGAGTTGTTAATTAGGAATAAGCACCAGAAAAATAATAGATCTTTCTGGATGACCAGGGATAGGCTGCTGGGCTACACAGTCCAGGGGAGGGAAAAGGGTATACAATACTAATTATTACAACTCTGTGGAAATTTATATTCAGTGTGGCTTTAAACATTAGGGAAAAGGCCAGTTTTGTTCAATGGGAGTGACTATCAGAATCAATATTCGCAAGAAAAGCTTGCAATCCAGTCAGGTGCATTCTAACCATGCTGGAGTTTAATATCCAGAATCCAAATTTGGTTATCCACCTGAACTGACAGTTCTGGATGTTGGTCCAGCACATCTGGAGATGACTCTATCCCAGCTCAGACACATTTTGTGAAATAGCAGCTGATCATCTTGAAAAAGCAAAGCGGGGTTAGAACCGCTTTGTACTTGGATGGGAGAATACTAGGAAAGCTTAGTTAAAAACAAACCGACAAACAACCACACCACTCCTGCATGGCCAAGAAAACAATATGGTTGAGTCCATAATGTCATAATGAAGTCCAGAAGAACTTCAGGAAGGAGTCTAACTTATTTATTGTGGTAGAGCAGTGTTTCTCAATCTCACCAACTTTAAGGTGGGTGGTCTTCAGGCTGGCTGGGGAATTCTGGGAATTGAAGCCCACACAGCTTAAAGTTGCTGAGACTGAGAAACGCCGTGGTTGAGGGAGGTCTTCTGGGCATCTTCATTCATGCATCTGCCCTAGGGAGGTCACTCGATCTTGTGGAAGTAAGAGAGCCAGTAGTTAAGCTGTTGGACTAGGAGTGGGAAGGCCCTCAGCCATGGAAACCCACTCGGAAAGTCTCATGGAAAGTCACATCTTTTGGCCCAAACTACCCACAGGGTTGTGGTGGGAAGAAGCACTCTATGCCTTGCCTTTAGCTCCTGAAAGAAAGGTGATTATAGGAATCTAATGCGTAATGCATGTCTTGCTAATTTATTTACACCATGGCCGGGTTCACACAGCCACAAGCCACAGTTTGGGGTATCATTACTACTGGATAGGTTCACACACCTCCTCTGCTTTAAAACCATGGCTTTAAAGCATAATGGTTGGGTTTACCCAACTCTAAGTCAAACCTACTTTATTTATTTATTTATTAAATTTGTATGTGGCTGGGTGGTTCCCCGACCCACTAAGCCTCCAACATTTTAGTTTAACATGTTGTACGAATCCAACCTGTTAGTCACTGATTTTATTTATTTATCAAATGTATATAGCCACCCGTCTCATGGATGTGATTCTGGGCAATGTGCTATTAAAACAAAACAATTAAAAACAGAGCCTTAAAAAACCATTAAAAATAAATATAAACAAGCCCCGAGAGAGAGATTTGGGCCGGTCACTCTCTCTCAGCCCAACCCACCTCACAGGGTTGTTGGGAAATTAGGAGGCAGAAATATTACTTATGTTCACTGTCTTGAGTTG